AATGCCTTACAACGTGAAAATGAAGGAAAAGCCCGTATTGAGAACTACGTTCTTCAACGCAAGTAGAGCTAATTGCCATTGTTATGGCGTTAAGGTTCTTTGAACGAAACTCCAATTTGCAGTAATCTGCAGCGATTCACAAACAGCGCTACAAAGCCTTAGTCGGGCAGAAAGTCTTGCAATAGCTGCTGAAATCCTAAGTTGAGAGTACTAACCAATCAAGGAAGTCGTAAAATTTGTGGATCCCCTGCCATGTTGGAATCTGTGGAAATGCACAACAGATCTTCTGCTAGCTGCTGAAGACGCTGAAAGACCATTATAGATTTTGTTTATACCAAAGACTAATACAAATTAGAGGTATTGTCAGGCAATATATCAGTGACAATGTTGCTGAGGTAAGGAGGATAGAAGAACAAACCAGTGAATCTGAACGCTGATACAATGTGGTTGCGACTGGCAATCCCAATCAATATGGACGAAGAGGAGGTGGCCGCGGGAGAGAATCGGTAGTAGCGAGAATCCGTCTTGGATACAAATATCCTTGGAGATTCGGAATGGAAACAGTTGGGCAGCAAAGTTGCAGAATCTGTGGTGGACACCGCCTTGACAACTACCCGAGTGTGTGAACACTTAAGTCATTAGAAATGTGTAGCATAATTCCCACATTAAGCTAGGAAAACGGTCAAATATAAGATACTTCAGAGATTTTCCCCGTGCGATAACTTAAGATTTTAAGGGTTGAAAATGTTAATCTCCTAGTTTTGAGAAGCTGTTCACTTGACAGTTAAGTCCCAGCTGTGTCTGGGTACAAGTGACAGGATGAACAACCCAGCGGGTTTTCTTCCTATTGGGGAGTGTTGTACATGCTGCTATGGCGGTGTGTCCACTCACAGGATGAGTGGCGCTGCCCAATAAACTCGCCCCTCGGGGCAAAATCTAAATTTAAAACTATGCCCTGTCCGTCATCACTTGGTCTTGTATATATGAAGGTACATTGGGTTTGAATACGTAGCATTGATGTTTTTACTTGTAAAGCCAATAACACGCAGTTTCGGGCAGGTCCTTAATCTAACAGATAATTTTAAGTAGGTAATTTATAGCAAAATATGAGTTAACCCTCGAATTTTACTTTAATGTACCTGTTATCAACAGGTACATTGTAGCATAATTTGAAAATTAAAGGTGAAATGTAGTAAAATGCGTTAAATATAACCATATGAAAGCAATGATTACAATGAAGTTGTATGGTTTAAGTACATATTTTGGAGGATTGGGTAGTAAAAGATAGATGAAAACTAAAAAATTCCCATATGGGTTTCCAAATGCACGATAGGTCTTTGCTAACTCAATTCTTTTACTCAAAGGAAGAATTAATTACCATCTTGGACTGACTTTGAGCAGTTTGACACCAGTAATAATCCGGGACCATCAATAAAAATCTCTGACTTGGTGAAATTCACACCAGTTACTCATTCTATTATGCACGAAGTACCGCACTATTAAGGGTCATCCAATAAGGGTTAGTAGACTTCTAGATGTCACCGCTGCTAGGCTTAGGCTCGGCTACAAGTACCTCTGGGAGTTTGTAACATCTCCTGATGTAGATGTGACTAAATGAAAACTGTCAGCAGAACTATTTGCATACTTTGCGTCGTCATATACTGGAATGTGGAAAAAAACGCAGAATTCAGAGAACACCATCAATGGAGTCCAGGAAATGTGTAAGTACTGCATCCATAATGATGTGCTGCCGGGCATCTGAGGAAGTATTCGAAAGTGCTCGTTGTAGGTGCAGCCTGCACATGGCTGTAAAGCTGCCGCCCAGTTGGGTGTAGAACATGACTAAAGCTGCCGCTCAATTGGGTGGCGCACATTACTGAAGCTGCCGCCGTTGTGTGGAGGACATTGCTAAAGCTGCCGCCCAATTGGGTGGCGCGCACAAACTGCCGCCCAATTGGGTGGCGCACATTACTAAAGCTGCCGCCGTTGTGTGAACATGACTAAAGCTGCCGCCCAATTGGGTGGCGCGCACAAGCTGCCGCCCAATTGGGTGCTACCGCTGCCGCACATTACTGAAGCTGCCGCCGTTGATGTGAACATGACTAAAGTTGTTACCACTACTCCCGGCTAGACGCTAGCGTGCCGCCCAACTTGGGTGGCGCGCACAAGGCTGCCGCCCAATTGGGTGGCGCGCCGCCCAATTGGGTGGCTGAAGCTGCCGCCCACTGCTGCTGTTGTGTGTAGAACATGACTGAAGCTGCCGCCCAATTGGGTGGCGCTGCCGCCCAATTGGGTGGCAAACTGCCGCCCAATTGGGTGGCGCACATGATTAAAGCTGCTGCTGTGTGTAGAATATGACTGAAGTTGCTGCCGCCCAATTGGGTGGCGCACAAAGCTGCCGCCCAATTGGGTGGCGCACATTACTAAAGCTGCCGCCGTTGTGTGAACATGACTAAAGCTGCCGCCCAATTGGGTGGCGCGCACAAGCTGCCGCCCAATTGGGTGGCGCACAAACTGCCGCCCAATTGGGTGGCGCACATTACTAAAGCTGCCGCCGTTGTGTGAACATGACTAAAGCTGCCGCCCAATTGGGTGGCGCTGCCGCCCAATTGGGTGGCAAGGGTGGCGCGCACAAGCTGCCGCCCAATTGGGTGGCGCACATGATTAAAGCTGCCGCCCAATTGGGTGGCGCGCATAAAGCTGCCGCCCAATTGGGTGGCGACTGAAGCTGCCGCCCAATTGGGTGGCGCGCACAAGCTGCCGCCCAATTGGGTGGCGCACATTACTGAAGCTGCCGCCGTCGTGTGGAGAACATGACTAAAGCTGCCGCCCAATTGGGTGGCGCGCACAAGCTGCCGCCCAATTGGGTGGCGCGCACAAGCTGCCGCCCAATTGGGTGGCGCACATGATTAAAGCTGCCGCTGTTGTGTGTAGAATATGACTGAAGCTGCCGCCCAATTGGGTGGCCGCTGCCGCCCTGAAGTTGCCGCCCAGTTGGGTGGCAAGCTGCCGCCCAATTGGGTGGCGCACATGATTAAAGCTGCCGCCGTTGTGTGTAGAACATGACTGAAGTTGCCGCCCAATTGGGTGGCCGAGCTGCCGCCCAATTGGGTGGCGCACATGAAGCTGCCGCCCAATTGGGTGGCGAACATGATGAAGCTGCCGCCCAATTGGGTGGCGCACATGATTAAAGCTGCCGCCGTATGTGTAGAATATGACTGAACATGGCTGAAGGGTGGCTGAAGCTGCCGCCGTTGTGTGTAGAACATGACTGAGTTGCCGCCCAATTGGGTGGCAAGCTGCCGCCCAATTGGGCGGCTGTAAAGCAAGACAGTTAAAGCTGCCGCCGTTGTGGTGACATGACTGAAGTGCCGCCCAGTTGGGTAAAGCTAGGGTGACTTGTTAGCGCCTCTTGTATCACTTGATATGAGAATATTATCTATATGCATGTATTTGTGTAAATAATTGTGTACATGTAACATTAACAATTGTCCAGTTAGCTTCACACGATTGTCACTTGGCTAAATGAACTCTGGGGCTCACTTCCTGAACCCATTATGTGGCTCTAACCCTTTCCACCACCGCCCACGGGATGGGTATGGGGTGCATAAGACAAGATCAGACCTGTTGTCACGTGACGTGTCAAACTTATGAACTATCAACTAATTTTTAGATTTAGATGCTTTGAAGAAATTAAGAATCTTTTAACATTCTTTGATACAATAGTCCAGATGGATACACCCATGACATCAATAATTTCTATAACTATTGTTCATATTTATTGTCCTACTGCCTCGTATTTATCCAAGATTGAATTCTAAAATGGACAAGCAAACTCAGAATTGAGTGGCAGAGGCGTCCGACAGCCTTCTTCCAAAAGATCAACAGTTAATGTAGTCTCTAGCTCCTACACGAAACCATAGTCTGATGCAAAACTTTTAGCCCAAGAGAACAAGAGATCTTTGAAGGAAGACAAAGGTTGCTTGGATTAATGGGGTCAATAATAATGGACCAACGCAGGAGACCAGCGGGAGTGTTCACCAGTCTCTTCCCCGCTCAGGCGGCAGCCCAAGCGTCCGTACTCTTACTCCACCAGGGCGTCCCAACATGCGGCAGCCCAAGCGTCCGTACTCTTACTCCACCAGGGCGTCCCAACATGCGGCAGCCCAAGCGTCCGTACTCTTACTCCACCAGGGCGTCCCAACATGCGGCAGCCCAAGCGTCCGTACTCTTACTCCACCAGGGCGTCCCAACATGCGGCTCACTGCCCGTCAGTGGGCGGCCCCACACAAGGAGGTTACAGTCTTCTGCAGTTCACGAGGTTGACGTTACTCGGGTTGTGGCCGACTCGCGCATCTTTCCTATTTTTAAAGTAGAAATTCACAAAATGAAAAGTATATCCATCAATGCAAGTAGCAGTTTACACAATTAAAACTGATGGAACAAGCTCAACACAACATGCGTGCATCACTCTTGTTCCACATTAATAAATGTCATAGAAACTTCAAAGAGTTATGCTTTCGTTACTTTAACATTTGTTATTTCATGCAAAACTGAAGTTTCTTCCAGATACTAATAACTGCCAAGTAATTATCAAAAGAAGGCACCAAACCGGGGAGACATGTAGCAAGCTCATTGACAAATAAAACAGGACAAGTCTTTCATCGTAGATACCTCGCGAGGTCACCGAGAACGAGGCCCTAAAGAATGCCACAAACAGGTTTTACAAGTAACCCGCCTACACTCCGGTCTGTTGTGAAAGGGGGGGGGGGGAGGGTTACTTTGTACATGTGAACCACCACTTAATTAACCATGTTAATTAAGTGTAGAATTACACTTCTGATGCCTTGGGACAAGTCAAGCCATTAATAATTTCTTTAACCAAAGAGTTAAGGATTTATTAATTTTTTCCTAACACTGAACCAAATTACCCTAACATCACTTAACATATTTGGTGGCAAGTTGTGTAGACAAAGCATCAAAAGTCCTGGGTAAGGTATTCAAGAAAATTATGTGCTAGTTTAAATTTTAATATTTTAAAAACAATTCCGCAAACGAGGCCATTTTCTGGCAAACATATCTCGGGCTGTTCCCACTGACGACAGACAGATGCTGGCAATGTCCTGCCACTTTATGGCGTCGTTATAGATGTTCTTCAGTAGTCCGAGACTGTCCTCTTGGCCTTCCCTGTTGTCACCCGAGCCTGAGGACGGGAGTATCACAACTATTATATTCCTTATGATAAGACTCAAGACGTCTTTAAGTTAATATTATCTTTCACGGACCTCTTTACACTTTGAGCCCCTTATGAGTAACCTGCACTTTAATCTACCAAACACCCTGTATATTATGACAATTTGAGCTGTAATGACCAATTAATACAGTCAAACAAGCCATACAGACCCTCCAGTGAGACCAGTTGGTGGAGGACAGTGTACCCGGATGACCACCTCCAGGCCCTCGCCCCGCCCTCTGTCGCTTCTCCACACGAACTGGATCACAATATTACGTCGTGTTACAACAATTCTTAGTCGTTAAGTAAATTAGTCCAGCAGGATGACTGTTTAATGCACATTTCAATAATTTATGACCATGTTAAACACTAACAAGTAAACTCACTTCTGACTGAAGGCTTCCTTATCCTTGATAATTAGCTGGAAACCCTCTGCCAAGACTAGCAGTAAGAGTTGGCTTGATCCCAGCTGTAGGTGTCAGTATTTACGCACAGTTCTTACCAGCCGTTGTTTCATGCATCTGAAATTTTAAAAATAATTTAATCTAAATTTACTCAAAGGGGCACAACAAGAGCCATGTTGAAGCGTCAAACCTGTATCTTGGGTACTCTAACCACATTACTCTTGATCTATGCGATTTAGAGAAAGTAACCAAATCAAAACCAGAATATTTTACTCACCAGGTATTCCACAGGATGGAGTGTAGTTCCCTGCGGCCTTTAAGGCCGGGAGACAAGCTGGGGGTGAGGGGCGAAGGGAAGCTGGGGCACTTCCAGTGCAGGAAGGTGTTGGAAGGACAAGAGTGCCGCTTGAAGACAACTGTTGGACGTAATACAGGACTAAAGAAACTAGTTTGAAACCGTTTAGTGTCTTTAGAGAACTGTAGAGACTTTCCCTGGAGGAGGACTTCTGGGAAGGGACGAATACTGGTGCAGACAACTGGTTTTACTCAGGAGACGAAGACCACCACCACCAGGGACCAGTCTGGGGCATTGTAGTCCCGAGACTACACTCCCACACCAGTATTGTCAGCAGAAGCATTCTGGATTCTGAAAAGTAATACCAATTTAATACCAGTGGATTTACCCTTAACCCTCCTGCAAGAATATGGTTAATAAGGCAATGTAAAAATTGTGTAGAAAAATGCTATCTTGTAATAATTACACAAAGTTAAATTAATTATCTGTTAAGTTACTACTTTCCAAGATGCTCAAACCATTGGTTAATCCTCTAAGCCAAAGGTTATAGATCTAAATATTTGTAGACAACTTTCGAAAGCAGGCTGAAACTTTTTTGGGTGGGGTAGGAAGGAAGGAATTATCAAGGGAACGGGCTAAGCCATTACGACTATGTAGCACTGGGAAGGGGTCAGGATAAGGATTTGGGATGGGACGGGGGAAGGAATGGTGCCCCAACCACTTTGACGGTCGGGGATTGAACGCCGATCTACATGAAGCGAGACCGTCGCTCTACCGTCCAGCCCAAGTGGGGGGGGGGGTGTAGCCAAGAAAAACACTACAGAAGACCGATTAATGCTACAACTTTGTAGCAACAGTAAACTGCTAAGCAATTTAGTTAAGCTGTTAACTTAAAAGTAATCAGCTGTACATTTACCAGAACAAGTGTCAAGATTGGCCTAAGTAATACAGTAAACGTGTATGGCTGTATTGTATATTAGTAAACTACAACTTTCTGAACTGCTAAAGTAATCCACTGTTGGGAAGTGTCCAAGAGAAACATCCGACTTACTTACTGGGCGTTTGTCCGGCTTGTTACAGCCTTGTGTAGACCTCCGAGGCGCTGACAACTGCACCACTACGATCCTGTAGTTAACTATCGTTTAGGTCCAATGGTCAGGACCAAGTATTCCCCTAACTTCTTACATTACAACTATTTACATAATACACTCAAGTCTGGAATTACACAATCAACTGAAATGCTACTATAAGGCAATTTTACAATATATATACGACAGGAAGTTACATAATTAACGTCTATGGTTATAAAAAAACACTAAACACCATGGATGGACATCCTGAAGATTAACAACCTAGTTCATGGCTTAAAATTCACTTTACCCATTGTTAGAATTACATCTAGGTTGCTGAATCAAAGTAGTCGTGTTAACTTAATATAGCTTAGAATTTATATATTTTTACAAGGGAACAGGGGAGACGCAACAAGGCAGCAGGGGGGGGGGGGGGAAGACGCAACAATGAGCAAGGGAGGAGGAAGGGGGGGGGGGGTAGACGCAACAATGACCGAGGGAGGGGGGGGGGGGGGGGTGAAGACGCAACAATGGAGCAGGGAGGGGGGGGGGAGACGCAACAATGAACAAGGGAGTGGGGGGGGGGGGTGAAGAGACGCAACAATGAACAAGGGAGGAGGGGGGGAGGAGACGCAACAATGAGCAAGGGAGGGGGGGGGGAGGAGACGCTACAATGAGCAGGGAGGGGGGGGGAGGAGACGCAACAATGAGCAAGGGAGGGGGGGGGAGGAGACGCAACAATGAGCGAGGGAGGGGGGGGGAGGAGACGCAACAATGGGAGCAGGGAGGGGGGGGGAGACGCAACAAGGGAGCAGGGAGGGGGGGGGGGAACACGCAACAAGGGAGCAGGGGAGGGGGGGGGGGAGACGCTACAATGAGCGAGGGAGGAGGGGGGGGGAGACGCAACAATGGAGCAGGGGGGGGGGGGGGGGACACGCAACAATGAGCAGGGAGGGGGGGGGGAGGAGACGCTACAAGGAGCAGGGAGGGGGGGGGGGAGACGCAACAAGGGAGCAGGGAGGGGGGGGGGGAGACGCAACAAGGGAGCAGGGAGGGGGGGGGGGAGGGGAGACGCTACAATGAGCGAGGGAGGGGGGGGGGAGACGCAACAAGGGAGCAGGGAGGGGGGGGAAGACGCAACAAGGGAGCAGGGAGGGGGGGGGGGAACACGCAACAAGGGAGCAGGGAGGGGGGGGGGACACGCAACAAGGGAGCAGGGAGGGGGGGGGGGGGACACGCAACAAGGGAGCAGGGAGGGGGAAGGGGGGCAGGGGTGGAACATGCCACAAGGGGGCAGGGGGAGGGGTGGAACACGCAACAAGGGGGTAGGGGGGGGGACGCACGCAACAAGGGAGCAGGGGGGGGACGCACGCAACAAGGGAGCAGGGGGGGGAACACGCAACAAGGGAGCAAGGGGGGGGGAACACGCAACAAGGGAGCAAGGAGGGGGGGGGGACACACGCAACAAGGGAGCACGCAACAAGGGAGCAAGGAGGGGGGGGACACACGCAACAAGGGAGCAAGGAGGGGGGGGGGACACACGCAACAAGGGAGCAATGAGGGGGGGGGGACGCAACAAGGGGGGACTGTCACATACAGCTCACCTTCAAGAGACGAAGCTGAACTGTATACCAAAAGTGAGGTAAAACCACACTGAAGTGAGTTTTGTCTCATCGTCTCTTTTATAACCAGCAGCCAACCAAACCCGGCCGCTGATTGGTTGGCAGTCACCCTATACCTCACCCCATTGGTTAACATTTTGCGCGTCTGAAGTGTCAATTAACAATGGCCAACAGCCACTCCTTCACTTCCCCAAATATGAACGAGTCTCTAATGAACCAATAATGATCCCCAGCTTAAATGTTTGAAGTTGTTAATTTCAAAACCAAATCTTATTCACACCCACGCATCAAATATTGTGCCAGACCGGGGTCCTGCCATCAACCACTACTCCAGGCTAACGTTTTAGAAGTAAGGGTCAATATTTTCCTGTGAGAACGCTCACTCATCAGTGAGGAGGAAGGAAGCTTCCCGCGCCAGCCATTTTTGAACCTCGCGCCACCACGTGGGAACCACCTATTACACCCACCACCACCACCACCGCCACCCAAGCTGACAGTATCAAGCTTCGTGAGGGTGCAAGCTACTGCAATCGTCGTCAGCCATCGTCGCAAGTATCAACTGGTTATTCCATCGTCGCAATATTGTCGTCGTCAGAATTTATCTTCGTGCCTCTAGCCTGAACAGTGTGGGGTCCCTGAGTCTCGCGCCACCGCCGCCAGGAGCGCTGCCGTCGCATCCAGTTTGTAAACACGCCTCACATGGGCCTCTTCAGATCTTCACGACGCTTCTCCTACTTTGGCTACTGGTGATCCTCATAAATTACAACCCTGAGATAAGTAATTGCTAGTTGAGAACAACGTGCCAAGTGTTAAAAAGTGACTTATGTAATAATTCCCATAATATCCTGTGAATTAACCATTCAGTGACTTGTTAAATATTGGAGCTGGTTCAGTACTGCACTCCCCACAGTTTTCCTGTGTGATTTCAACATTCCTGCTTCTTACAGTAATTTCATTGAATTTTAATTGTTCTCCTAGAGTGTTATTGGTAAATTCAAATTCCAGTGAATTAAGAAATCCTTGTTTTAGTAGCAGTTAAGGATTTGTGCAATATAATTTTTTTTTAATTTCTCCAGACCTAACTTGAAATTTATCCTTTAAGCATTTTATTTTAAACTTTTACCATAGGAGTTATATACATTCCTGTGTCCAGTTTATGTGCTACATCCATATTTCTTGCATTGCCACTTGTTGTGTTGAATCTTTTTAATGAAATTTTGCAATTGCATTTCCCAGTTTTTATTCTAAATTGCTGTGCTTAGTCTGGTTTAATTAATTTACATACATCTAATTCCAGTCATTTTTTAATGAAAGATTGCTAAATTTAGTTTACAATTGCTTGTTCTTGATTATTTTCTTGCCTAGCCCAATTTAATAATTTTATTTCTGCCATTTTTACTTTAGCCAAGTTGATATTTTTTGTGTTTATTTTTGTGTATACTATTTCTGATGCCAGGTGCACTTAATTATAATCTGCGTTCAAATATTACTTCCACGGCTGTGACAATGCCTACCACTGTTGAAACCCCTTCAGAATCAATGGGAACAGTTGCTCGTCCCAATGGCCAGAGATCAGCTCAGGAAATGGCTATTCCTCTTTTTGCTGGGGAATCGCGTTTATTAGAATCATGGTTTAGTAAGGTTGAAGCGAAAACAGTTGCACGTTTTTCTAAGCCTACTGATGCCGAATACTTAGCAATTGCACGGTCAGCCGTGGACACAACCAAAGGTGATGCACGTTTTGTTGTTGATGAGAAAGCCATTGTTAGCCTTCAGTCTTGGCCTGAATTTAAGGATTTCTTTCGCCGTCGCTTTGTTAATAAAGGAGACCTTGACCCATATAGGTTAGTCAAGAAAATTGCCAATGCCACCATGCAGCCTGGTGAATCGTTTAATGCGTTTACTAGCCGTCTCGATCAGTATCTGTATGCCTTAGTTTCTGCTATGAATAATTCAACTTGGTTAGATAAAGACAATAATCTGTCCCCTGAGGCTATGGCCAAAATGATAGCATTGGTACTTTAATGCATTTTGCCCCCGAGCATACAAAACCAATCGTTGAGCAACAAAATTTTGGTGTTAAACATGAAATTGGTGAAGTATTTGAGGCTATTAACAATGCCGCAGATAAACTAGCTCCCCGAAGTGCTCAACTGTTGCCACCCTCTGATGCTGTAAATGTAGTCACAAGCTCTCAGCATCCTCCCACAAATTCTCAAAACTCTTGGTCGCAGAAGCGTACCCATGCTCGTAGCCCCCAGTCAAATTCGCCGCCTCATAAAATGCCGAAACGCCATAGTCCACAACCATCCACTCCCTCATGTTGGCATTGTGGTAAGAGTAACCACCTTGCAAGGGACTGTTGGTCCGCCCCTAGATCATCACCTCCTAGACAATTCTCTCGGCCCCCTCATCAATCTAATCATTCTAGGCTTCCATATTGCACGTACCATAAACAAGTTGGTCACCACACTGCGGATTGTAGAGCTAGGCAAAGGACATCTCCACCTCGTAACTCCCATGGTCAGTCTTGGCGAGGCTCACAGCGTCCAAGACATTATCAGAACTCTCGTAATTACAACTCCCAGCCCAGCTATAATGCAACTTCAAATTATAATGCTCAGTCACAGAATGCTGGAGCTCAGAATGTTCACTCCATGTCGTCGGGAAACCCCCAAGGCCATCCGCTAACCAATTCAAGCTAGCCAATCCTAGTGCCCTCCCTGTGTATTCAGTAGCTACCCAAAATAGATTTGGACACTTGACAGAGGAGGACACTGACTCTAGACCAGTTGTAGATGTTGACGGATCCACAGTAAATTTGACACAAACAAGACACAGATATCCCAGACAACATAAGTCAAAAGTAGTAACTTGTCCAGTCTCAAGTGATGGTCCCCTTGTCTCAGCCATTGTACATGGTAGAGTTTTAAAAGTTTTTCTTGACTCAGGTGCAAAAATTAATATTGTCAAGCCCTCAGCTCTTAGAGACATTGAAAGTAAGCACCCTACTATTTTAAAACAGTCACACATACCTTTTCTAAGTGGTATTTCAGGAAATAAAGTAAAAGTTCAGGGTGAAATTGACCTCCCACTCAAGTTCAATGATGTCACATTGTCTATAACATGTTTAGTTGTTGACATTATTCATTTTCCTGGAGACATTCTCTTAGGTCTGTACACCATGATTGATGAAAATATTGCATTGTTTCCCCATCGTTGGAACATAAGTATCAAAGACCATGTCATACCCTTGTGTAGCATGTATCGACAGGGCCACGAGTTCAATCTTCAATCAGATTACGTTAATTTTGTTGACACCCGCCTTGCAAGCGTAGGTTTGTCAGATCATTGTCGTGGTAGCATACCCGAGAAAACAGGCACTCGATTGAAGCATAGTAGTTGTGCAGTTGTTAAGGAGAATGAGTATCGGGACTTTCTGGAAGGGGACGCCCTAACGGATTCTCGTTGTCTCGCTCGCCTGGCAGCTTCCATCTCTGAAGTCAGTGGTTCCACGGCTACTGACACTGTGCTACACCCTCATTCTCTCACCAGAATAAGAGTTAAGGTTCAGGGAGTGCCTGAGTTGTCGGATGTGATTGCGGAAAGTGAAACATGTAAAGTGAATGGTACATTTGTTGAACCCTCCTGGCACACAGTGCAGGATGGTACTGTCTCACTTTTTATCGCGAACACAAGTAATGCCGATATCCATCTCCAGTCTGGTACCCATGTTGTAGATTTTGCCCATTACTCGTTACCGGTGCGAGTTGTGGATGATGTCTCCATGGATC